TTAGAATAAAGAATAAACTCACTTCAGAGAGATATAAGATATTATCTTTATATGATTCAGATTACACATATAATTTCATATTTACATTAAGGATTGAGGCATCTAATATTGATGTTATTAAAAGTGTTAATAAAATTGATGCAAAGGTATATCATCTAGTTAGTCAATTGCTATCACAAAAGCAATTTAACATTTATTTCTCAAATGAAAACCTGTTTTCTTTTCTTTGAGAAAAAGGCATTGGTGTATGCAGAACTGTTAGGACGAATACAGCAAAATTTTCTGTAATTCTAAAAAAAAAAAAGAAAAAAATATGAGTGAGATTTTTTAAAGGGTGTTGTTATAGATAATATGCTGGTAATGTTGTGGATAGATAATGAGCCAGTAACAATGCTGATCATGATACACAATATTGATAGTAAAGTTTTTAAAGAATGTAGAGGACCTAGGGAGATAAGTACAAATAGCAAAAAGGTTAGATCTATATTTAAAGATGCAGTTCGTAAAATTTTGCTGATCTCAAAAATAATCGATGAATACAACCATTACATGGGTAGCGTTAATATTGCTGATCAATTATATAGCTATTACTCAACACAATTAGCTATTTATCAGACTTGGCCACCCTTATTCTTCTAGTTATTAGACACGTCTATCATAAATTCTTATTTAATTTGTAAAAATTTAGGAATAATAAAAGATCACAAAAGTTTTAGGCTGGATTTAATTCGTGATCTAATTAAAGATTCAATTAATAATAATAATTCTTTTAAAAGAGTTACTCATAATGGCAAAGATAGATAAGCAAACTCAATTTATGTAAATGAAAATAGGTCCAAAAAAATCTGAGTTTCTAGTTCATTTGAATTACCAGTATGCAGATTAGTAATAATAATCATTATGTGAAATATAGAGGCTTGTTTGTAGTATCAGTATCAGCAAAAAAAATTGAAGGGTCAACTTTACAGAATCCTTCTTAATCAAATTATTGGTATAGTGGATGTAATATTCCATTATGTTATAACTAAAGTCGCCAAATATGTTTTAAAGAATTTCATATTTTTTATTGAAAATTAATTTTTTTATTACATATTAAACTTAAAAATTGTACTAATGAATTTGAAAAATAATAATAATAAAAAGTATGTAATTTTGATGGATTTACAAATTTCTCTTAAGGTATAAATAGCTAAATTTATATTATATAGGAAATTTACAGGCTTAAAAAAAAAATTTTAATAATTTTTAAATTTATAAATAATTGAATTACTTTAGCTATATTTAATAATTTTATTTATACTTATTTGGATAAAAAAATATATATTATAAATATAAAATTCAAATCTTAGGTTATTCAAAAATATATAATTTGTAATAGTTTATCTTACTTATTAAGTTTTCCAATGTAACATAAAAATTCAGAATTTTTGCAGACAAATATGTCTGCAAAGGCTTACAGATGAAGGGATAATAATTCAAGTCAAAATGAATCAATTTAGAAGGTGCCAAATTGGTTCTGAAATCTTTTAATCATTAATGTCTTTGCAATATATAAAAAATTAATACATTTTGATCAAATTTATTACAAATGATGGTACAGTCAATTGTTATCCTGGCCAAGTCTAATATTATTTTATATATAAAGTTGATTTGCCATCTAGACAGGCTGAACATTTTTTAGCATTTATTTATTAGTATAAATCTGCAAGTTCTTCAAATATGCAATATTATTTTAGCGAAGAAGAAATATGTAATGTCAAATTATAAGATACCAAATTTTATCTGAAAAGTCATAATTATATAATACCAGTTTATATTTTGGGTCGATTTATACTAATTAACTATTGAATTTCAGCTTAATGAAATGTAAAAGAATATTTGACTATTAATTCAATTAATAGAAAATACCATTTGTAAAAATAAATTGAATGTTTTTAGCATTATTTGGCTGTTAATCCTAAATATCAGTTATATTTCCTTCTGAATTTTATTTTATTTTGAAATATTTTAGCTAATTTGTGATGTATATCAATCAGATGTAAATCAGACGTTAATCGACTATATATAAAATAAGTCAAATTTTAGCTAATTTTTGATGTATGCTAATCAAATGTAAATCAGCTATAAATAAGATAGGTTGAATTTTAGCTAATTTTTGACGTATATTAGTCAGCAATAAGTATGCCAATTAGCTATAAATAAGATAGGTCAAATTTTAGCTAATTCTTGGCCAATTTTTAATGTATACCAATCAGCTAGGCTGATTTTTTAATAATTTGCTGAATTTAGGCTGAATTTAAGCTGATTTTTCACATGTCTGATTTTTTTAATTTCGATCAGTGAAAAATATATTATAAATATTTTAATATTATAAATACTAAAATCAGTAACTATAATTAAATTATATAAATTGCAACTTTATAAAATTTATTCTAGTTGTAATATAACTTAAATAATAAATTATAATTAGTTATAACCAGTTGCAACTAATTATATAAGTTTAATTAATTTGCAATTTATTATAATATTTATTATAATTTTAAATTATAGTTGTAACTTAAATTATAATTATAACATAATTTAAATAATAAATTATAATTAGTTATAACTAGTTGCAACTAATTATATAATTTTCATTAATTGCAATTTATTATATACAGTTATAATTTTTATAATAGTAATTAGTTATAACTAATTAATAATTAATTACATATATAAAAGTTCTGAATGGTTCAGTTCAGTCTAAATTAGATGCTAATCCATATCCAAACTGAAAATTTCAGTTTGGTTCAGTTTAAATTATTAATTTTAAAAATGCCAATCTGAATTTGAACTGAACCACAGACTGGTAAAAATTTGAACTAAACCAGAATTTTCAGATTAATCTGAAATTACAGTTAAGGAATCTGCAATTTATATGCAAAACTCTAGGAGAATTACAAAAAATCGCGAATTTCTCTTTGAGATTCGTGAATATTTGCGAAATTCAATGAATAATCACAAAAATTTGTGATTTTCTAAGATTTTTGCATTTTTTTTGCGAAATTTAAAGAGAAATTGCAATTTTTTGTGACTCTTCAAGAATTTTGTGATATTTTTTATGAAATACTAAGAGAAATCACAAAATTGCGATTCTCTAAGGGTTTCATGATTTTTTTGTGAAATTTGAAGAGAAATTGCAATTTTTTTGCGATTCTCCAAGAGTTTTGTGATATTTTTATGAAATTCTAAGAGAAATTGCAAAAAATAGTGATTTTTTAAGGTTTTTGCATTTTTTTGCGAAATTTGAAGAAAATCGCAAAAAATTGTGATTCTCTAAGAGTTTTACTAAATTTTGCGATTCTCTTAGAGAATCACAAATTTACAATCCTTTAAGAGTTTCACATATAATTGAATTGAACTTTTAGAATAATCTAAAATTATCAGTTCAGTTCAGATTTTTTTCAGTTCGGATTAGAATTATAATCTGAAAAAAATCTGGACTGAACCAAAAATTTTCAAATCGATTTTTGTGCAATTTGAAACTGATTTGAACTGAACTTATCTGAAAAATCTTTAGATAAATCTGAACTGTTTGGAGCTTTACATATATTTTTATTTTTTGTTTTATTAATTTTTTTTAAAAAAATTCACATGCTTTTTTTATCTTTTTAGAATATTTAGTTTTTAATATTTTGATATAGATGATATACTTTCAAGTTATTATACTAAACCATCAAATAAAAGTAATATAAAAAAAGAGAAGGTTAAAATTTACAGAAATTTGAAAATATATTAAACGAGAAAACAAATAAGTTCTGTTAATTATAAAGGAATTTGTATTTATTGTAATAAATTTTAGATTGTAACTAAACCTTTAAATTTTAAAGTATATTTAGCTAAAAATTATTTAATATGTTTAAAAAAATTATCCTAAATTTTATAAATGAATTAATAAAAATAAAATATAAGATAATAAAAAATCTAAAAAAAAAGTAATATAGAATTGATTTAAACATTCAAATAATACTTAATTTTGAAAAATTTAAACTTAATAAATCTAGTATTCAAGAAATTAATAGTATTTTATTAAAAATATTTGTATAATATAATATAATATTTAATATTATAGAAAATCCTTTTTTAGTAAATTATTAAAATATAATATGCTAATTATAATCCACTATAAAGACAAAAATTAGCTATAAAATTATTAGAAATAAAAGTAATTCAGATAAATATAAAATTGAAAAAGTTTTAAATAATACATTAAATATTTAACATTAATCATTAATGAATAGATATTATTAATGGTTAAAGATTTTGGCCAGTTCCAATCTCTATTATAAATTATTAACATTAAACTTGTAATATAAAATTTGCAAAATAAAATAAAAAATTTGATCCAGCAGCAACTCATATACTTACTTTATTTCAATTATTTCTGTTTTTTAATAAAAAAAAATTTTTTTCTTTTATTATATTGTTACACATACGACATTTAATTAATCACATGTTTCATGCAATATAGTTTAAATTATTTAATTTTTTATGTAAATTAACATCAGTGATGAATTGGTATAGTAGTAACAACGCGTGGCATGGTGCGAAAAAACGGCATGTTGCGGGTTCAGCTGCTACTGTACTCAATTTCACATTTTTTTTTTTATTATTCATTCATCCCGTGATCCAATTTTTTACAAAAACATTTTCTATAAACCCAGAATTTGTTAATTCATATAATAAAATCATTTTTTTTTTTAGAAAGTTTATTTTAGCAAGTAGTTTAAATTTATTAAATAAACAGTCAACCAAAGGCTTTTCTTATCGACCGGTTGACTGACCGATAACTAATTGGAAAATAAAGAATAATTTATATTTAATTAGCCATCGTTTCAATTTACTATAATTCACGATGTATTCAGAAAAGTATATAAGTATTTAAACCTTAGACTTCTCTCAAACTCTCTCTAATTTTTCTGAAACTTTTTCTAAAACTAATCGCTTTTAACAGGAACAAAATGATGTTGTCGCTTAATTGTTTGATTCTAGGACAAGCTTCCAAAAAAGGTTTCACCGAAGATATTGGCGAAAGATATACCAACGATGATAATCTTGAAGTCGAATTTTCCAAATTTAAAGTTTCACATTTAATAGAGAAGCTCATTCGTAGGCAAACCATAAAAGATATAAATCAAAATTCTGAACACATTGATCTTTGGAAAGTTGACAGTACGAAGGTTGATGAAGAAGACGTCAATCTTGAAAAATTTACTGAAAGTGACATCAAAAGTAAACTCGGAGGTGAAAAAGATGATCCCTCGATTCCCGCTTGAAGATTATTTTAAGGCTGATAAGAAAATTGATGCACGGGGCATTCATATCATCGTAGTTGCTCTCACTGGTAAGTGTCTCCCATCGTTTTACCTTTCGAACAAGAAATTTCCAGTAACCAAATATCTGATCTCTTTTTTTTCGCGTTAAAGCGGGTCCTTCGCAAGGTGTTCCACAAGGTACAGTATCTAAATAACTTCGAGTATCTATTAACCGAAATGAACTCAAAAAAAATTTATAACAAATCACTTACTTATTATTGGTTTTTAGGACCTAACTGGAACGATGCTTCTTCCATCTACGAGTGGATACAACAACAGTTCACATTGGACCGAAAACGAAAACGAGTATGTCTTACCTGCTTTGGCAAAGACTTTGAACTTCTTCAACGAGATGACACCATTACAACTCTCTGGAATGGTAATCAAGGACGATTGGGATTGCGAGACGATTTCAATTCATTACGGAAAATGACAAAAGCTATCATCCAATCCCCATATTAGCTGGTGGACCTGGGATTGGAAAAAGCAGAATCCTAGACGAAGTTGAAGGATTAATCAAGAAAAAAGCTGAGGAATCTCGCAATAATGATTTCACAAATATGATTGTCATCAATACAAGCTATGGGAATTCAACCACTGCTGACGACATTGATGAAAAGGTTCAAGCACAGGTATCTCTTGCAATACGTATTCTATTTGAGTACTTTCGACCAAATCACAATTATTTTCCTCAGGATTATAATTTTGTCAGCTTCCGCTCATACAGTAGGCAACATCACAATAATTCAAACATTTCAGACTTTACCCTGGACACTGCTTTTCAAATTATCTACTATGACTTTATGCAAATTAATCAAACAACACTTAATCCTCAACTGGTCCTGGTACTCGGCATCGACGAGTTCAATAAATTGCATGTTCAAAATAAAAATGTCTGTAAGAAACTTATACACGCCATTGGAGGGTCAATGTGTGGATCGCCTGCAATCATATTTTTCATTCCTATCCTAGCTGGAACGATTGAAGGACCCTTAATTGATTATATTTCAGGTTCTATGCACGAACCACTTCCCCTCCCACTACGTTTACTTAATGATGATGATGCAATCAGAATTGGTATGAAAATGAATTTAATTGATGATGAATATGTCAGCCTGCATCCATATTTTCGAATAAGTATTAGTGATATTGGAGGACATTGTAGAACATTGGAGTATTACTACGAAATTTTTTCACAAAAATTTATAACAGAACACGTTAAACTAGAAACAGAAGAAATATTGATGACAGAAGAGGAGAAACTAAAAACAGCTGCTCGTAACGTGAATATCGAGAATATCATGGAATACGATAGGATTGTAAATAAATATCATCTTGAGCTAAACTCATGTTGGTTGACAATAACTCTTGCAAAGGCCATATTGGGTTTTTCGGTTAAAAAAAAGGATGGATCATGCTCAACAAAAGATCAATCACATACGAGGAACTTAGCTCAAAAGGAGTTGTGAACCTGGTTCCAATGGAATAATCTAGAGAATACCTTATTCGCTTACCTTATGTGTGGGTATGCGCAATCGTTGAAAGCTCCAATGACCCTGGATGATGTATTTGGATTCCATGTTAAAATAGGATGAGCCGATAAATTGGCAGAATTTCGAAGATTTTAATGCCAAATTATGGGCATTACGCCTCAATCTCTTTCGTTTAATAGGATATGAGAAGATTAAGTTGAAGACCCTTTGTAAGGGAGCGGAATTTTCCCTTAGTTTTCCAGATGTTGAAGTTGACTTACCTAAAGCTAAAAATAACAAATTGTACAAATTACTACATCGATACCCAGGTATTATGTTTTGCAGATTTTTTTTTTTTAATATAAAAAATCACATCAAACTCAAATCCCATTCTAATATAGTTTAGTCTCTAAAACTTACGAGAATAATCAAGTTTAAATATGCAAATATGACGGAAGTAAGAAATGGATATATCGACCTTGATTTACTGAAGAATGATAATATCAAGGAATATATTGGTTGTGTATTTCTTAATGCGCCTGGCCCTCCTTGGGATGTCTCTTGGTTTCTTAATGATGAAAGTTCTAAATCTGAAATTTGCGTAGTTCAACAAGAGAAATTAGCAACTACTATTAAGGTTGTCATCGACCAAGATTTATTCGATAAAGAGCATGCAAAGGTAGCAATACTGCTTCATATATTAAGTGCACATGCATTGTTTAAATAGTTGGTTAACAAATCTCTTTCGTATATAATAATAAGGTTATTAAAGCTATGAGACGAAAGATTGGGCTTTATTATTCTTAACGAATGCAGATCAGAAAAACAACCTATCTATAGTTGATAAACAAAATAGCGCATTAGTATCTATTGAAAATTTTCAAAAGTTTATGGATATACATATGCTCAATCGGTCTTTTGATCGACATGTGTAACATATATGTACTACATATTCTATTTAAACCGGAGTTTACATTCCGTTTATCTTTCTTTTTTTGAATTATTTTGCATTATGGCCTTCATTCGTGAAGAATTAATTCGCGATACAATTAATAGAGCATTCGCATTAACTGATTTTAAAATTTACACTGACCTAGATAAGCAACATGAATTTAGACAACAAACAATTTACGCCGACAAATCTCTCACGAACGAGGAAAAATCAGAGGCAATAAAATTATTAATTGAAGGTTATGACTATCACAAAATTACTTTTAATCAAGGAATAGAAAGAGTTTGTGAATACTGCAAACAAGAATGTTTAGCAACAACATATTGCGAAAATTGTATTCGAAATAGTTTAATATCAAAGTATTCAGAATGGACATCAGGAAACAATAAAATTGATAAGTTAATACAGGATTGTCAGTCGAAATCGGTTTTTCCATATAGAATAGTTGAATGGATTCCATATAATAATATTCAAAATATTGAATATTTAACTAAAGGTGGTTGTTCTGAAATTTATAAAGCAGTCTGGATTAATGGACCTTATATTAAATGGGATTCAGTCGAACAAAAATTAATTCGATTTGAAATGGCAAATGTTATACTCAAAAGATTAGAAAATATTAAAAGTGCTAGTAGAAATTGGTTTGAAGAGGTATGTAATTATAAGAATTAATATTTGAATTTGTTTAAATTAAATAACTGATTATTTTAATTATGTTTTATAGGCTGAAACTCAATTAACATTAAGCACTAAATCGGCATACTTCGTTGAAAGTTGTGGTCTTACTCAGGATCCATTAAACAAAGATTATTTTCTTGTAATGGTTTTATATGATATAGATTTAAGAACATATTTACAGCAAAGTCATAATCAACTCACATGGAAGCAACGAATTCATATACTTTTATACATAATTGATGCAATTTATAAACTTAATATGGAAAATGCTATTCATAGAGATTTGCATTCAGGAAATATATTATATTCTAAATTAAATAATTTGTGGCTAATTAGTGATTTTGGATTTTGTGGCCCTGTTGAAAAACCATTAGGAAGTATATATGGAAATCTTCCTTATATAGCACCCGAAGTTATTTTTGGAAAAGAATATACTTTTGCATCAGATATTTATAGTATTGGTATGCTTATGTGGGAGATTTCATCTGAACAATCACCATTTTCTGATTTTGATCATGATTATGACCTTGTGATGAAAATAATGAATGGGGTGAGGCCAAAAGTAGTACCAGGAACTTTAGCAGAATATAAAAATTTAATGATACAATGTTGGGATGCTGATCCATTGAAAAGACCTAACATTGGTACCATTTTGGATAAAGTTTTAGAAATACGAATGTTATATTATCAAAATGAAAATGAAGAAACTGACATTAATATACAATCAAATATAGCATCTAATATCAGCTCTACTTCTATTAGTTCATTAGTTAGAAAATTTAGTAAAGTTCATATTTTCAAAGATTTACCTGAACCAAGAAATTCGACTGAAGGTAATTTAATAATTGTATTCTTGTATTAATTAATGATTTCTAATTTTTAAATTTATTTTACAATTGATTTTAAAAATTTTTAAAATAATAATGATTATACCTAATTTTTATTCTATTATATTCCTTTTTAAAATTAGATTATAATAGTAACGATAGTAAGCAAAATAGTCTTACTATTCCAGATAGTAAGTAAAATTCATATTTATTATTAATTATTATTAAAAGATTATTCTTAAAGATTAGTTATTGTCATAATTTGTTTTTTTATTAAATCTATAAAATTTAATAAATAATATTTTAAACTGACAGATATAAATAAGGGCAAATCTAAAAGGATTTCTTTATATGATTCAGATGGTAATAGCTTATTCATTTATTATTATTATTATTATTAATTTATACTTATCATAATAAATTTTTAATAGAAAATGTTAAACTGCAAAAAACAAAACTAATTAATGATAAAGGTATTTATTTGAATAAATAAAACTTTTTAAATATTTAAGATTAAATAATACTTTAATTTAGAAATTTATATTAATCATATAAATGATGAAATTGAAATACCATATATACAAACTAGACAAGTAGATGAAGGTAAATAAAAATGAATAAATTTATTTAAACCAATTAAATGCTTTAATAAATTTAATTTATAGATGAAGTATGCAATAATCCAAATCTTCATTCAGAAGATCAAGATGAATTAGAAATTGCTGAAGGTAAAATTATATTAAATTGATTTCATACGAATAATATATTAATATACATTTAAAATAAATTTATACAAAGGTTAAATTGAACTTATATTATATTTAAAGTAATAATAAATTATTTTTATTAAGAATTATTTAAACACAAGGTAAAGGTTTTTTAGTGTTAGTCTATAATTTAAATAGTTCTTAAAAATGTAATTTATTTAAAGTTATAAAGTATCAATTTTTATCTTTGCAATAAACAATTTAAATCATAAAATTTATGAATTATAAAATATTGGTTGATTATTAGAAAATTAAAATTTCTTTCACATTTTCATTAATTATCTTTTATTCTAGATAACTATATAATGATCAAATGATCAAAAGTTCAATTGTAAAATGGAATTTTAATAATTGTTCTCAATAACATGATTATATAATAGTTTCTCCAATTTGCAATGAAAAAAAATTATAATTTATTATTTACCTGTACGTATTTCTTATAAATATAATTATATATCCAGTAAATTCAATCTCTCTATACATACAGAGTATTAGAGTCTAAGCATTAAATTTTAAAAAATTCATAATTATCAGCAAATATGTTAATTGGATTGGAAAAATGATATATCATGTTTTTATTATATTGGAAATTACAAAGAATATATCATGTTGCCAAAGAAAAATAAATCCATCGACTAAAAAAGCTTTGAATGTAAGTTTATTCTAATTGTCATTTTGAAAACACAATTTAACAATAAGAACAATGAGAAAAAGAAGGATTAGAAACAGAACTTTTTAAACTCCTTTTTATTTATTTTATTTAGACAAAATAACTTTTAATATCTGAAGGAGTTGAATAAATCTAATACATCTTCAAATTTAAGCACATCAAGAACAAGAAGATAGGCAGTTAAAAGTCCATTTTCAAAACAAGATGGAAAAGTGCTGCTATAATCAGTGTATGATTTTCAAACCTAAACATATAGGGGCTAAGCTATAAAAATTACCTTACGGGATCACACCAATCAAAATTGTGATTTTTGATTTTATATTATTATATGATATATGAACTTTATTTGGTTAAATTTTTATAGTCGATTATCTTATTACAAAGCAAGCAATAAGGCCGTCAAAATTTCTCATTTTCTGTGTAATATCAGTCGAAAAATCTAAAATTAGGATTTAACATAAAATTGGAAATGATCGACATTATTTAAAGTTTCGGACCCTAATAAAATTCAAAATTTTTAACTTTAACCATTATTTGAATGTGTGATTAAATGGGAGGTATTTAATAAATATATAAATTTTTTTAAAAAAAAATTATAAATATTAAAAATAATTTTTCTTTTTTAAAAATGAATTTTCTAATAAATTAGTGTAACAATGTCCCGTAGGGTGATTTAATAGCAAAATCTCAAGTGTTACGAAATTGTGTATTACAAAAATGTCCTGTAAAAAATAATTTTTATAAAATAGTAAAAATTTTAAATAATAAATTTTAATATCGTCTTATTAAATAAATTGACTCAATATTTAAAATAGAACAATTTATTATTGGTTGGAAATGTTTACTGTGCGTAAAATTTTTTAATCATCATTTGCCTTATCCCATAAGGTGATTTTAATAGCTTAGCCCCCATATGTGCAGAAAATGCACATTATACAGTATGATGAGAAAATTGTGCGCAAATATTAAGTATTATATATTTTACTAATGATTATAAGAAATGTTAAGTGCGGACCGCGCACAAATATATTTTTGAAACGTGCAGAAATTCACCAATTATGTGCACGCGCACATGACCGCACTACCAAATCATACACTGGCTATAATGTCTTTTCGTATATCAAAGTAAGATGGATATTCTTTAAATAGCGCTGGCTTTGATAAAAAAAAAAAAAAAACTTCGATGTTGAGTATTTATATTATAAGAAATAAACCGATGTATGCTGGATATTACTTTCATTTTTTTATTTAGAAACTTTAATGGAAAAAATTGGAAACGTAAATTAATATATTCGTTCGAAAACATCGAAAGAAAAAAGTAGTAATTGGAATAGAAAATTAATTTACTGTATTCTTCTTTTCATAATTATAACAATCATTTTCATAATTGCGGTAATTATTTTTTTTAATAAATAAAAATCGCCCAAGAAATCCAAGCCGAATTTAATAGGAAACGATAGACTTTCTTTCCGAGACTAACAAAAAGCAATCATCATTCCTTTTGGCAGCGAATGTGGCGGAAGATAATTCTAGAATTATTCCAAATGCTCAGAATTTTAAAGAAATCTTTTTTTTTCTAGCGTTATTCATATTGTCATTTTTATTTCGTAGAAGGAAAAAATTCTAAAAAAAAAAAAAAATTTTTTGATTTAATGTTAAATCTGGATTTATTTTACTAGCGAACGAAAATTGTGCTAGTAATGGAATATTCTACCCCGGAAAATAAACCGTATAAAATTTTCTAAATCTATTAATTTATTTTTTATTATTATATCACCTCATTTTAATTGTTTACAAATCTAGGAAACACTCGTTTTGTGTAACCAACCAAATCATTTTCGAAAATTCTCATAGAACAATGGTTAAATTTGCGGGCGAATTAATTTGTTAAGGTAAATTTGGAAAAGAACGAAGCACGATTAGTAAGTTATATTTATGCTAAAAAATTAAAGCCAAAATATCACACTTTGTCGTTAATAGATTGTGTAATTTAGTAAAAGGATGACAAGTAAAAGAAGCATCGAGCAAACAAACCCAAACCATCAAAGTTCCTGAACCAAAAGAAACCGAGGACAAATGTAAGCAAGAGTTGAGAATAAAAATTAGGTTCAAATCAATAATCGAATTATTTCAAATATTTATTTTAATTATTTATTTCTTTATTATGTATAAAGTTTATTAATGGTCATTTTTCAACATTTGTTATAATTGATCATTGAATTCAAACAAATTGAGTTGTCGTTAAAATTTAGACTCTAATGATTGATAAACAGGCGTTGAAAATGACAAATTAAAATCTATAAAATTTAAAGGAATTTACCAAATGCAATTCTACTTTCCGTTAAAATTTGAACCCGTTTTACTAAAATAGCTATTAGTTGATTAGATTCAATATCCCTAAATACAAAAAAAAAAAAATTTATCGAATAATAAATGTACGATTATTCTTTAGTACAATTGAAACATTGATAGGTTATCATATTTAAAATATTGAACTATATAATAGTAGGTCCAAAAATAAACGATTGTTATAATTGTTATAATAAAAAAAATTTTTTTTTCCAAGATTTTCCACAAACATTCATTACTTTATTTGGATAGTAAAGTCCTTAATCTAAAATTAGCTAAACCTTGCATAGCGGGCTTAAGCCTGATTGGTTGATTTTTAAAATGATAGTTACATATTAAATTCATATAAAAAAGATGGTCATCTATCTTTAAATGGATTCGCAGCCACGGGGATAAATTCGCAAGTGTTGCGATAAAGTATACCTTCTTAATCTTAAGTTGTTCTTAAATTTTTCTTTTTTCCTCATCAGTTTATAATTTTTCTTTTGGTAGTTATTTAATTAATTTAATTGCTAGTTGGGTCGCTTTAACGTGATTATTATTTTTAACTTTGCCGAATTAACATTAATTTATTGATGTTTTATAAACTGTCAAAGTAATTTGGTGAAAAGCAAGGTAATTCAGAACTTAGCTAAAAAGGGTTTCTTTGCAATATGTTATTTTATATGTATATATATAGAGAGAGAGAGAAAGAGATTGAGATTTGAATTATATATTGGTATATATTTTTAAGATTTATTTTATTTATTTACACAAATAAAAGAGAAGGTTGGATATTTCTAATAAATAATAGATAATGTACAACTATTCTTCATATTTTAACTTTATTGTATAATTTTGATTTAAATTTTTAAATCAAATAACTAATAATGAACTGTAATTTAGATAAATATCTAAATGTATTTTACATAAAATAATTTAATAAAAAAAATATTTTAATATATATTTTACTTGTTAAAGATAATTTGGTCCTTTTTACATAATATTGTCACATAAATATTAATAATTTTAGACTTAAAAAATTAAATTTTTTTATTAGAACGAATAGTCATGTGATTTGTTATTGGCCAATCATATTAGTGTATAATTAGCCAAATCACAGAAAAAAGCCCGCTATGCTGGTTTAGCAAGTGCTAAACCTGTATTTATGCAGGTATTAACCTTTTTAGTAAATTTTTCGAAATTATAAAGCTCGGCGTAAGAAATATCATTTTAATAATGATTTTCGTTTTTTAAGCAACGAAAAAAAAGTATATATTGAGTGGTGGAATTCAAAGCTCCAACAATTCATTAAATCTTTCAAACTCAAATTTTAGTTTTAAATAGCATTTCCTCAATTTTACATAAAATAACCCTAAATCTTTTAATATCGATTTTAAAATTTCAATATGTTACAATCTGGCATTTTCACCAAATCAAATCTGGTTTACATACCGCTGTCAGTAACGACCGCTCACACGTTAAATTTCATATATAATTCCCATTATCTACATGGCAAGAATTTCCTTCAAAATTACCTACCCAGTATATTCTTCAATATATTTCCATTACTATTGTTTTTATCACTTTCATGTGAACCAATTCAAACAAGCAAACGATTTTATACTTTATTATCTCTCGCTCTTATATTTGTTTCAATTCCAATAAGTTTTCGCGAAAAATATCCACCGACTCTTCATAACGTTTTGTAGCTTATGGAGCAAATGTAAGGACTAAAAATGTTATTGTTCTTAAAATCTAATCAGTCGTACTTGAATCAATAAGGTTCGAATCAAAAGAAAGAATTTAGGTCATTCCTCTGGAAAGTATTTTTAATTCACGCTTTATCTCTTAACTTGATTATTACATCACCTACAACTTCACAAATTAACAAAAAATTAATTAATCGCACTATAATTAACTTTAAAAAATTTTGTCTTCTCGAACTTGTAACGTTCTTTTCAATTAAATATACGATGGTAATTCCAGAGAAACCATACCAACTTCGTTTAGTAGAATTTTTAACAAAAGAAATCCCTGCGGTTACAATTCCATCAATGTTACAATACTTAAATTTCTTTTAATGTGTATACCTGATGTTGTCAGTATATAGTTACGATATATGTGCAATATTATTTGTGTAACATTCTACCGTTTGTTCCTTCATTCCTCTTCGAAGAAATCAATGAAACCTATTTTAATTAAATCTGGTCTTCTTAATCCTTCCGAGTATGTCTCCCTAAAAGGATGGATGATCATTTTCCTTTTCAATATAAAACATTTGTTTAGTGAACCATGGATGGCATCAAGTCCTCGCGACTTTTAGTCCGCTCGTTGGCAATTAATGATTAGTGTAAGCTTCAAAGAACTAGGGTTTTTACCTGTTAATAATGTATTCGCTTCATTCGTCCATATGCATGAATACCTTATCATCGGTCAACTTGATATTTGGACAGGTGAACACCTCTTTTCTTTATAAATCCAAGAGGAGACTTTTCTGAAGTAGTTTGGTTTAAGAATGTTACTACCGTACTTTTACTTTATTTTTGCAGATAATTTTCTTTAGATAGTCTGTAGGTGTACTGTACAATATCATGGAAAACAATTTTGGGTCCATTCTTATTTAACTATAATTTGATATTAGGATTTTAATGTAATTTTTGTACTGTAATTTATTGAATTTTTAATAAAAAAATCACTTTAATTTATAAAATTTTAATATTATTATTCAAAATTATGAAACTTTATTTATAAATGATTGTATAAACGCAAAAATTTCATTTACATTAAGAATTAAAATTGCATTCTTTCTAGTCTACTGGTAATAATTTCATTCATGTCATATTCATCATCTTCAAGACCGGATTCACTTTCAATCCTATTAGAATGAAAAATTGGAGATTGGAGATCAATTATATTTGAAATATTCAAGTTTATGGCCGATTCATTTGTATAGAGGTGTTCAGCTGGATTTAACAATTCCGCATTTTCTAATTCTTCTAAAGAAAAGTAAATGATAAAATAAATATTTAAATAAAGTAATGGTATAAGAAAAATAATATTAAAAGAAACTTAACCTTATAGTTCTTAAGTGAAGAGATTTTAATATTACATTCAAAGCAAATGAAGAAAAAAAAAGAATAAACAATTTAGAAAACCTTACCTCATATTGCATATGTTATCCGACCTGAAAAAGGAACTAAAAGATGCAAAATCCTAAAAAAAAAAATATAATAGATAATAAAAAAAATAAAAAAACAAAAAATAATCATAAATGTGGAATGGATCCAACCCGAATTTTTACTTATGAAAATAATATTATATAATAGAAATTTACCTGCGATGTACTTCATATATTATATTTTAATATTAACTTCCACATCATTATATTCTACCGATTATATTTTGAAACATATTGATTGATCAATCTTTGTGAAAAAATAACGTATTGATATACACAAATCAACTTACAAGTAATCTATTCTCTTTGTGGGCATTTTCAGCAGCTTACTGAAAAGTTGGTACTACAATTTTAGTTGTTTATATGGCACACAGTTAAATTGTAGTATTAAGAGGATTAGTGTAGTTAATATACTGTATATAGGACCAGCATTAGTAAATGCAAAATAAACTCTTGCTAGAATTACTAAACTCTATTTTAGCCAGGAAACAAATAGTTTAAATCTTATACGCAAGAAACTATGTGTAACCTTTAAGCTTTTTGATCAAAGTTTATCGCAAATGATCAAATCTAACATTATTGCTGTTTTTCTTCAATATTTCTCTATTTGATGTATTCAATGTAGCTTCTTGATCACAAATGATATATAAGTAGAAAACTTTAATTTTGAATTCCTTCAATATAAAAAAAAAAGAATTATTGTAAGGAAAAAACCAAATGACACTAATTTTGAAGTTCCAGAAATACAGTAAAAATAAATTAACTCATCATACACGGTTACTGATCATTAGAAATATATTATTGAGAGACGCATCATTATTTATAGATATTCTTATATAATATAAGAGCGTTCCTGTTTTTGTTTTCTTTTCAAGTTACAAAATAAATATTTTAATTAATATTTTCTTTTTCTTTTTTTTTTAGCCGCCTTCACAACATTTTCGACTTCAACTAAAATATATGCACACGCAAAAAATGTAAAGTTACATAAAAATATAATTTAACCAAACTTTATTTTATTTATTATTATTATTATTTTTTACAATAACTATTATGGATAACTTTCGTTCAGCAACAAGGAAAGTGAGGAAGATTTAAATTTGAAGCCGTTGTTAAGTTCAATGTCGAATGCGCTTATTGAGTATTTGTTAAATTCGTTGTATATTCGAACAATAGGTATAAAATTGAGAAATCTAAAACCTAAAAATGAAGATACTGGTATATATCACTGATTCTGGATGTAAAGATCATAGAACTTGTTGAGTGTAATGTCGTTATATATGCAAGAGTTCTACTCCATTTTTGAAGCCTTCAATAATCTATAGTTTATGGTATAAAGCACATACGAATCAGCGATCTAAAGCTCAGCGTAGTCATGATTTATTTTTAATATTGTAAGGATTTGATGAGATAGCGGAATTTTTTGGTCCGAATGTGTGTGTAATGGAAAAGAGCAAACCTTGATGAATCTCTAGGTGACTTTTCTAACATAACCATAATTCACATCATCTCAAGTTCAAATTACCAAGTTACTTTACAAAATTTTGTCTGATTTATAAATAATTCTTATAACGATAATGAAATCATAATTTATTGAATTAGTGATGGTAACGGTCAGTCAAAGAAAGGCCTTGACCAACCGACCGGTTAATAGTAAAAAATTAACAGATTTTGGCTTATTAGAAAATTTTTATTTAGCCGAACAATATAATTTTTCCGCACTTTTTTACAAAATAATTTTTTTTTTTATGTTTTGATTTACTTATTTAATGGCGCAGCATTTTAATATTTTTTTTTTTTCAAGTTTTCAAATATTGATAAACTTGGAAAGATTCCGACGAATTTATATAAACTACCGATAGAATTAAATTGTTATTAATGATGGATAAATTATTGAACATAGGTGATTTATGAAAATATTTATACTATATTTTTATAATCGTGCATTATATCATAACAGTGAATTTTTCATTGCATTTGTTTGATTTTTCAATTAGAACTTCTCTTAGTCAAGTATACATATAGGTATTTTCTTAGGCCATGCAACTTCGATGTTCACGTAACATTGAAATTTAAAATCGACCCGGAGACCCGTAGTTTATTAATGATTAATAAAGAAAGTTTATATTTAGAAATATGCCATTTGATTGGTCAATCTTTAAGGGGACAAGCGTGCGAAAATAAATTTTCAGATTCTGAGGCCCGGCCAGATTTTTTTTAAAAGAAAGCGGCGAAATAACAATATGAAAAAGAAAAAAAAAAACCGGGTGATCGTGTCAATTATAAAATCTTAACTCCGTCAAAATGCCTATTATACATGTAAAAATAGGTTACAATTCTAAAGTTTTGAATGATTGGGAAGGTTTACCTGTTGAGAAAGAAACAAAAATAAAAGATATTTTTTTTGGAAATATTTCGATTCTATATTTATCACCTGACTGCTGGGAAAGCAGATTTTGAAGTGAAGTTTAGCTCATCAAAAACAATAGTTGGAGAAAAAATTTCAGCACAATGTATTGCTTGAGAAACTATATGAAACTAATGAGTTGTAAGAAAGGAATTATACATAACGATACTGTAATACAATAAAGCTTTAATCTACCAATAAAATTACACTTTGTAAGTCACAAGATAAACTTTTTATATATGGGGTCTAGTCAATAGATCCACTTGACTGATCACAGTCATGTGTTCAAAATTAGCTTATAAACTAAAATCAATGAAAATTTTCAGATTTCCTCCTTTTTTATTGACAAGCCCGCATATAAACTTTTTTTTTGTTAAAATTTGAAAAAGTGACCCGGCCGGGTGACATGAACCGAAAATTCAAAGTTGCATGGCCTTATGTTAGTTATTTTTATAAAATTAAATATTAAAATCTTCTGAAATAAAATTATATAAAAAATGATTATTTATTAATTGATTGTATTTAAATGTTTTTTGGATTCGGTTTTTTACCATATGTACTTAGTCAATAAAATCTGATTGATTGCTTAAAATATTCAAAAGCTCATTAATATGGTTTTTTTATATTGTATTTGCGAACTTTTACTGGAATTGGATAAATGATATGCCGCAAGTATAATTCTTTAGCTCCGATCTAGGACAATTTATATTTACAAACATTAGTTACATTATTGTTTTTGATCATGCAATATTAAGGCAATTTACTTCAAGTTCTCAGTCCATTGAATAAATTTAAATAGATTCAACAATCTCTTTTATTTTTGAATTCTTCAACAGTGTTAGACTTTGTGTGTTAGACATGCTGATATCTTCATAATCACTATAGTTGACAATTCATTTAAGTAAGCTAGCATTATAAGATTTATTAATTACGCCTTTTTTCCTTGAAAAAGTGCAGTGCATTGGAAAATGATTGTTTATTTTGATTTACTATTGCAAATAAAAAAAAATTAAATAAATTGATCACGGCTGTGTAGCAAATAATCTATCATGAACTAGTGATCTGCAGAAGATCGGCGGTAAATTGAACCATCAGCCGAATCCCCCTTTTATTGGGGAAAGAATATTTTTCGCGGTGCGGTAAAAATTTAATTTTATTTAAATAACCACACAATTAAAGAATTTACAAGCTAGGCTCTATTCTATTGAAACTTTTCACAAAAAAAAAAAATAATCCAAGATGTCTTCCAGTGGTAATGTCGTCAGCGTTTTGAAAGCACAAATCAACGCGTCCTTGAATACTTTGGAGAAGAAAGTTGACAAGATTGTTGCTCTTACTCCTGTCAACAAACCCACCGGGAAGCCAGCGCAAATAAAAGCTGGTATAAGAAAATAAATAACCTGGGCATTTAAACATGACTTCTATAATGAAATATAACGAGTAAGTGAGCAACATTTTTTTTCAAAAATTTCCTAGAATTATCGTATTGACATCCTTTATAGCCTTTTTGTGATAGAAGTCGTTTATTTATAAACCTTATATCAATTAACCCAAGTTTTCATTAAAAAAAAAATTTTAAAAAATAAAATAAATTTATTTCAATTTCTTAACCAATTGTCGTTAGCCCTTTTTTAAAATTGACATTAATAAAAAACTATTATTACGAAACGTTTATTTGATATGCTTTTCAATGCCACTGACCACTTATAGATAATGGTGCAGTACATGCACTTCTCAAATTATTATTAATATGAAATGAATACCAAATGAGTTGAAGCATTTCAATTGTTTCGCCTAGTATAAATGTTATTTGTTGAAAATGGAATAATACTATTATGATAATAAGCTTCCTTTCTCAGACCACGAGTTTTATTTAGAGGTTGGAACCGACCAAAAATTCTTTAACCGGTTAAAATTAACTAACCAGTACTATAAATTTGGCTGGAGTTAAACAATATTTTTTATATCAATAAAAATCTTAATTCTGGCCGGAAATTGAATTTCGCAGGAGTTAAATTTATCTATTTTAACCTGTTTAAAAATTAACCGGTTCCAATCTCTAAGTTTGATTTCTTGTGTACAGAGAAAACGGACAAGTTTAAACGCGTTTCGTTACTTTATATTTTCAAACTTTACAAGGACGTATTTAAAACAATATTTCTAGAAATTAACAGAATTTAACCTTCTTATCGATAAATATTATAATTGAAGTGGCCATAACATGCTGTAATATTTTGATCCTTACGGAAGTAGTCATTGGTGCATTTTATAGTAATAAATATTTCTATATCACAAATCTATAGACGGGACGCATCACATGGAAAAGTTTATTTAAATTGAATTGTGCAATTCCGATCGTTACTTTTATCAAAATTTACAAACATGCATTAACTGTAACAAATTTATACAATTTTAATTATACATTTTAATATAATGATATTACATTTTTAATCTAGTTCATTGTTGAAAAAACATACATAAATAACTTTATTTTATATGTATATTTTTAAATGATAAATTTTTCATTTAAATTCTGTTACATTATAAAATAAAAGTATTTAGTTTCAAAATAATGTATATAAAGTAACATTTCTGATCCGATTGTCAAAAAATTAAGCAGCTAATCAAAATCATTTGAAGTTCGGTCAGACCAAAATGGTTGACGAACAAATTAATCTTGCTACTTGGCTAATCGACATGGTTGGTTAATATTGAAATGAAACAGTTTTCTATTCAATTTATGTCACTCGGATAAAATGGAACATCCCTTTTTTGAATATCCCCAATTATGAAGATCCGGGGTTCGTATGTTATACATCCCTTGTTTCGATGTCATTATTTGATTTCTAAATAAATCATATTATTTGCTAATTGCAAGGTAAATAACTTTTATTATTA